AGAGTTGGGACTAGACCAAGGCATTCTGGGAAATGTAGTCCTTGGGGAGTTAGAGGGTCAGCAGGACAAGGACTTGGGGAGAAGAGAGAGCCAAGGCTGCCACCCTGGCACTAACTTCAGAGTGGAAGCTTAAAATGCCAGGGAAAAGGAAACCACTTAAAATCGGAGCCTAACTCCACATGAACAAGTCCTGGCCCTTTTATTTTGGTGGGGAAGACCTCCTCACAGAGGAGGGTTCCAACTGAATCTCACAAGTAGAAAGAAACCTCAGTGTCCTACATCCCTTTCCTCCTCTGGCTAGGGCCTGCAGACATGGGCGGAGTAGGGGGGAGCGTTGAGGGGTTGGGGTGTGACCTGCTGGCTCCCCTGTGAGCCGGTGAGCATCCCGAAGCTCCCAAGTTATTTATGTTCACAGGCTGCCCTGATGACATATGTAAGTTGACAGGGAACATCCTATCAACTTGCTGGAGTGTATCTTGATTGTTAAAACATACTCTTAAAGGTGTACAACCATTTATCAAATTAAAATAGCCAAGCTTTGCTTGCTCCTTCTCTGTCTTCCTGGAAGAACCCCAAGCAGCCTCCTACCTCCTCTGTCCTCCTGTGTTAGCCCTGGGCTCTGCTCCTCAGAGACCCTCCCCGAAGCTTGGGACCCTGGCCTCAGCACACCCTCCCCCTGCCCCAGGCCAGGGCAAGCCCACTAATCGCCAAGAAGTGACAAACGCCAGAAGCCCCACCAATTACATTTAAACTCACGCAAAGCTCAGTGGCTAGTAAATTATTATTTTTATTAGCTTGAACCAAGTTCCCGTAAGAGGGAAAGTCAACTTGCTCCAATGAATGGCTCTTGTATAATTTATTTAACTCTGTGCTCTTTGCCAAAGCCTGGAATATTTTTAGCTGTTCTGTTGTTGGATTTGGCTTTTTTATGTGTGTTTCTGAGGGGTATTTTTAGCTTCATCCATGTTATTCTAACAACCTCCTATGCGTTTCTGTCCTGTCTGTGCAGGCTGTTGAACCTTGTCTCACAGGGAGCTGAGGGAGATTTCTAAGAATAACTGCGGAGTGTTTGGGGGTGCGGTGTTTTCTGGAGGAGATGTGCTGTCTGCACTATGCCACTCCTGACTCGGCCACCGAGGTGCCTTAATGTCACGTGACCTGGATATTCCAACGGAGAACTCAGTGTTTCCCAACAGAAATAACCAGGGTTGGTGGCAGCACAAACCCCAGAGAAAAAACCCACATTCCAAAATCAGCTCTGGTGGAGCAGGCGCGGCTGCCACAGACACCCCAGTCTATGCAGCCACCAGATTCCCGGATCCCTGCGGCTCCGTTGGGCACGGTGGCAGCTTTGATGTCTAGCTCTGTCACTTACGGAGCAGGATGGGTAGAAGCTCGGAAAGTAACTCTTTTCACACCTACTTAATGTTGGTAACTGCTGCAGAGACACTATCGTGCAGTGGAGTTAATGAGGTATTTATGAAAATGTATTTTTTTTCTTACAAAAAAAGAAAAAAACCCACGTGACGGGAGGGACACCTTGGATGGGGTCTTTTTTCTCAAGAAAAAAAAATTTAATATTTGAAGCTAGGTGGAGTGTGGGTGGTTGATTATTTTATTATTTCACTTTGGAGACTGGTCATACAAAGTACCTTTTACAGGAGCTAGGTTGTCAGTCTTACCCCAGAAAGAGCCTGCCTGAATCCCCCCACCCCCCAAAGCTGCAGCCAAGACACAGGCTGCACAGGCCAAGTTAAATCACCTCCCGAAGCCAAAAGGGGTGGAGAAGAGTCCAAAAAGAGGATTCACACCAAGAAACGAACCAGCCCCTGGATGGAGCCCCAGCCTTAGGGGGACTCCAGGAGGACAGGACAGGAGCTGACCCAGCCGGAAGGGGGGAGGGGCAGGCCAGCACACAGCTCCAAGTTTCTCCCCGGGGCCAGCTGCCTCCTGATTAAACCAGTTCCGAGGAGAGAAGAGGTCCCCGAGTAACTCCGGGCAGTAAGACAGAGGAGAAAACCTAGGTTGCTTCGTGTTGGATTTCCTTTTTTTTTTTTTTTTTTTTTTCCTGTGTTTCCCCCAACCCTAGATTTCACAGCTTTGCCTCCGGACCATCTGTATTAAAGACAAAAATCTTAACACTGCACTAAAAATAATGGTTCCAAACATTTTAATTGCACCTCTCGGTGACGGGTTAAGGGAACAGCACTTTACCGTAAACCCTACAGCTCCAATATAAAGCTACGGCACTTTCCTTTTTGGAAAACAATGGAAGAACCCTGCAAGGCCAGCACCCACCCCACCCCATCCCCGGGTCCCGCAGGCAGAAACCCAGGAAGTACCAGGCCAGGCGGGAATGAAGCTGGGGGGCAGCAGAGGGACCCTCTGCCCAGTCTGAGCAGTTGTGCCTGGCCAGGCAGGAGGAGAAAGCACACTACAACACAAGAGAACTGTCCCTGGGAGCTGGGGCTGCAGCCTGGGTGTCTGCATCCTACACAGACACAAGGAGGAATCTCCCCTAGAAATTCTGCTTCCTGCTCGGCTCAGCAGTTGAGGCAGGGAGGGGCAGGCTGGACTGCTGCAGCCCTGGCCTCTGGGCCAAGGCCATCTACAGAGAGAGAGAGAGAGAGAGAGAGAGAGAGAGAGAGAGAGAGAGAGAGAGAGAGAACAAGAAGGTGGCCTCTGGGAATCCGCACACAAGACCCAAAGGCAGAGATCCCTTAACTTCACCCCACCTTTTCCCTTCCGAATGAGGACCCACAAAGACAAACTAAAGTACAGGGATCTCAAGAATAACTCCTGTTTTAAAAATACACATAGCAAGATTCTAAAAGTGAATACGAAACCCTGGCTCTTAGCAATTGCAAAAGGCTTCCAGCCCCACACAGCCCAGCCAGGCTGGGAAATCACAACCAAGTCCAGGATCTCCAGACACAATAGGTTCCTCCGGTCCCCAAGGGGATAGAAACTGGGCCTGCAGAAGCAGAAGGCGTTGGGCCCTCCGGCACTAAAAGGGGGAGCCCTCTATGGGGCCCCCAGTGCATAAGGAGGCAGGAAGGGTGTGGGGTCACAGACTAGGACCTGGTACAGTTTCTCACAGCTCTCCGTGGCCTGTAGTTCAAGAACCACGTGCTCCAAGTTAGCATGAGCAAGACAAAGGTCAGGCCGCTTCAACATTCCCACCTGACTGGGTACTGCCTAGACCTGGAAATAAGGGCAAAATAAAGGAAATGGCTGCTGACCAAAAGCTGGCTGGGCTATGGGTCGGTGAGTGGGGTCAGGGGGCAGCAGTGACCTGAACTGATGAGGACTGGGCTTGGCCTGGCTGCCCCAGGGGGCACAGCCCCAGCCAGCCTGGGCATTCCTGGGGAAACCTGTGCTCCTCAGCACTGCAGACTCAGCCTGCCCAGACAGGAGCTGAGGCAGGACAGGAAGCTGGGCACTTGTGCTAGCTGCAGACACCACCCTGTCACAGCTCTCCCTCGGTTCCCCAGTGCCCCTGAGATGAGAGGACAGCATCTCCGGGCTGTGGTGGGAAGATACAATAAGCACAGGGGTATGGGGGAAAGATATTTTAAAATCACCAATCACTCAGTCAAGTACTTTCCTTTCCCTTTCCAGTTATAAATCTAGGAGAGAAAAAAATAGAAAGAAAAGGAGAGAGCCGTCTACAAGAAGAGAGCAAAGCCTCCCTGAAGCTCCAGCTGGAAAGGCGGCGTACCACACCGCAGGGCTGACCCCGCAGGAGGCTGCCGGGCTAACCCAGGGTTTCACACTCAGAACGCCCTCGCGCTGTAAAAGCTGGAGGTCCTTTAGTAATTAAGCGATTTTAAGTTTGCTTGTTTTTTTTTTTAAGGAAATGAATTTTTTTTCTTTTTGACTGCCTTCCCTTCCAACATTTCCCCTTCTAGCCCCGTTCTTGCCATCCGTTTTAATCCACACACTAATTGTAATCCCATTAAACCAGATATAATTTTATTAGTATTCATGGTTCATCAAGCTAATAATAATAACTGTTACTGCCAAACTGAAAAAATAAAAGCAGCAAATAATAATTCTGATGTTTAGAATAAACGGTAAACAAAAGCAAGCCGACCCGCGCGAGTGACCCAGCAGGTCCACGTGCAGTTCCTCGGGCTCCCCCCAGCTCCACCCACGCTGGTCAGTGACAAACCCGCGACCTGCGGCTTTCTCCAAGAGACTGGGTCAGTGCTACCAAGAACCGACCCTCGGGGAGGGGAACACAAGGAACTGGAACGGCGGTGCATGCCGCCAGGGCTGGTTAGGACAATTCAGGGTCTCTCCTCTCGAAGCCAAAGCGCGCGGACTCGCCTACACCGAAATCCCGAGCGAGGCGCCTCTCTTGAGTTCCGCGGTGCGGGATGCGCGGTCCGCACTCAGGCCATGCTTAGTCCGGCGTTAGCAGGATACCAGAGGCACTTGTTAAAGCGCATGCATCCCCTGCAAACCCATTCTCGCCCTGACACTTCAAGGCTTTATATAGAAACAGGATTTTCTCGTCTTACACTAGCAGTTCCCATTAGCGCTCCCGGGGCGCACACCACTCTAATCCGCGGGCCGGGCGCGCCCTGGCCCCCTCCCCCAGCCACACAGTCGTTCTGTTCCCCGCAGAAAGCGCCACGGTGTCTCAGACGCAGAACGTCTTAACGAGGTGAATGCAGAAGGCAGAAAAGAGGCTTCCGCAAGAATTTACTTCTGCAGGAAGGGGTGGGGGAGGGTGGCTAGGAGTAGAAGGCTCGGTTTGCTGCCTGCTCTCGGGCTGCTCTGAGAAACCCAGGGTAGTCGGGGAAAGGCTGCTGGACACGGCGCAAACCCGTGGGCAGGCAGGATGCACGGCCCGTCCGTTGCTGCTCAGGGAAATGAAACCAAAGCTCCGAGAACTGCTCCAAGGAGCGAGGGGCCGACGCTCCTTGCACTCGCCACCGTTGCCAGCTGCGGCGGGGGTCTCTGCACCGCACCCGCCCGGGCTGGAAACTGACCTGTGTGCGAAGCCATCGGCAACGGCGACGGGAAGTACTTTCCGGGCTGGAAATGCGCGGCCGGCTGCGCGGCTGGGCCGGCGGGAGCGAGGCGCGCGGCGGCCGCGGCGCTGCGGTGGCCCAGGCTCCCGCGCTCCGACAGCAGATGCGGCGGCGGCGCGAAGTCTCGGCCATCCATGCCGGGCCCCGGCCCCGGCCCGCCGCCGCCTCCAGCAAGCAGCGCGGCCGGGGCCTGGGGGCGGCTCGCTGTGCAGGCGGCGCGCGGGCGGCGCGCGGGAAGCAGCGTCTGGGGTCACCGGCGGCACAGGCAGTAGAACCGGTCAGCACACCGGCGGACTGGGCTTCTCGGCGGGCGGCCGCGCTCCGAGCCAGCGGCCGCCGTGCAGGTCCATGGTCTACGGAGGCAAGCAAAAGAGACTCGGTGACTCGGGGGTTTCTCTCGTTCGGGGGTCCCCGCCTCTCCCGCTACCAGCCCCCTCCTCGCGCGCCAACCGGAAAGGCATCCAGACCGGACAGCGGGGCTGGGAGCGCTCGGAGGACTCCCCGCTGCACACGCTTACGCGCCGGGTCACTGGAGCCGCCCTGCACGCGAGTCCGCAAGCACACACGCACCGTCCGAGCCACGCTTGGCCTGCAAGAGCCAGAGGCAACCCAACCGCGCGGCGCACAGCTTCCCTTTCTGGTCCCTGAGAGTCCCTGCGGCGAAGGCGCCGTTGCGAAGAGGCTGCTGGCTCCGCTGGGTGATAAAAACCCAAATCTGCGAAGCCATCACGCACACTCGCACGCGCGCGCACACATACACACTCACACACACACACCCTCTCCCCTCCCCCGCTGTCCAAAGGTGTCTCGGAGGAAAAAGCCCGGGGTCCACGCTCCCCCACACACACCCGGGTCTTTCTGAGGTCCAGCTTTTACTGCATTCCGCTTAACCGAATAACCATGCTAATTAAGCGAGTAATTTTATTGATTGTAACTCAAGAGTTTTTTTTTTTAAATAACCTTCCTTTTCTCCTCTCTCCCATCCCCCCATGCGTCTTTCAGTCCATTCTTTTGAATGTCGTCCCCCAACTCAGCCCCAGTGGGACCGGCCCCCACCCTGCAGCATTGTGCCACAACCCCAGACTGGCGTCCCGGAGTCCCGGGCGCCCCTCGACCGCCACCGGCATCACCTGGGCCGCTACGCCGCAGTGCCTGGCCTGCTGTCCCCGAGCCCGGAGGTTCCTAGTGAGGCTGGAACAATCACCCCGCCCCCCAATCAAATTCGCCCAGGATCTTCCTCTGCGGATTGGGGGCTTTGGGGGAGGGGGCTCAGAGTCAGAAATTGTTTTCTCTCGGCCTCCCAAATCGGCCACGACGTTTCTCCATTCAGCGCCTGCCCTGGATCACCTAACCAAGGCTGGTCTCCGCGTGGCACCCTGATCGACCCTGCGGGGAAGAAGCGGAGACCAGCACAGTGCAGCCCTTTCCTGTGCCTGGGTCCCAGCAGACCCGGGTTTTCGGTCTTCCATCCCCACCTCTGGCAAGGCCAACTTGAAACGACCCTCCTCTCCCTTTCCTGTTACCCCCTCCCATCGTGAAATGTCTACTCCCGGGCGAAATCGCAGACAATTTCAAACTCTGCGAGGAGCGACCGAGCAAGCGATATGAACTGTACACTGCCATGCACGTGCGACCAAAGTCTCTCGGCCCTTCTCCATTTCGGATACTTCTTTTCCTTATTTCCGTAATACGCATTGTTTTAATGCTTGGCCTCAGCTCCAACAGAAAGGAGGTATTCTTAATTGTGAACTTTGCAGAAAATCTGATTTTAAAAAAAAAAAAAAAAAAAGCCATCCCACCGTGACAACAAAGCGATTAAGATGTTTTCTATTTAGTAAATACCATTTAAATTGCTATATTTTATGCTCTGGGTCCTACACTGTCTTATTTGCACACTATTTTGTGTCTGATTTAATCTATAACCGAAAACATAATGTATTAAGTGAATACATATTTGCTCATGTGATAAGCTTTTTTTAATATTTATTCGGAGAATTTTGCATTGTAAATAAACGGGACTACACAAAGACTTCTCTTTGTGTTCAAACTGCATACAAAGGAGTTCGGGGCTCTCTTCCCTCTGGGGAGTTTCACTCTCCCCGCGTCCAACAAACATCTCGCCTCTAAAGAGCGCGGGCCTGCTCAGCGATCGCCAGGGCGCGGAAGGCAAGGCCGAGGCGCTGCTGGCGCCGGGGTCAGGGGAGGGGCTGCCCAGGACCGGTGGGGGACTTGCGCGCCCCTACCCAGGCCGGCGCCTCTCGAACCCGGGAGGGCGCAGAGGAGGACAAAGGGAAAGGAGGAAGGGGAGGGAGGTCAGGAACCTGCCGCTTCAAAGGCACCGAGGGCCGGAGTGGGGTCGTAGGCTGCGCGCGCGGTACAAGGCTTCGCGACGGCCTCCGGGGAGTCGTGTGCGCTGGGCTTTTGTTCTGGGCCCCCACCCCCAGGAAGACATTTCAAAGTAGGAGCAAAAGTGGGGGCTGCAAGCGATTCTCGGGACGCGGGCTTTGAGCTCACGCCGCAGCTTTACTCTCCACCCCCTGCGGGCCGATCGCTGGCTCGTTTGTGCCTTTCTCGCCAGCCCGCTAGATTTTCTACGCAAACAACGGCTGGATTATGTCGCCAGTACGCGCCGCTGCGCTTCTGGCCGGACTGGAGCGGACTTTCCTTTGTGTTCGGTCCTGACCGAGAGCTGCCGTGCCGCCCTGGACTGTTCGCGCCCTAGGCCTGGGAAAGCCGGCTCGCTACGGAACCAGGAGGTGCAGCCACCGGGGCCACGGTGCAAGGGCCGAGGCCCGGAGCTGCGGTGCAACAGCCCGCGAGCCCCGAGGCCTCCACGCGCCCCATCTCAGGACAGGACGCCGCAATGGACCCCGGGCAGGCTTGGACCAGAGGAAACAGAAAGTGGCAGACAGCCCCGCGCGGCCGGAGAGTCGCCCATAAGACGCGTCTAAAGGACCCGAACCCCAGAAAACCTCCCGCGGGCGGCTGGGCGTGACCCCCCCCAGAGCCGCAGTTCCTCCAGAGGCTCGGCCAGCACTGGTTCCTCGGCTTTTCGAGGTTTGCTTTGTTTTCAAATTTTTGCATATAAAAGCCGGGTCCGAGCCGCCTTTGTCCTCCTGTGGAAGCCCAGCTCTGGGGTCCGTGGGCTCCCTCTTGCCGAGTTTCCCCGCGCGGGTGGGCTCAATGGGGCCTGCAAGTCCAGGCCGCAGCCAGAGGCGCACCGGGACGAGTGGCTACAGCGTCGCTGCACAACCCGCTCCCTGCGAAACCCGCCCCCCCCCACCCCGGCGACGAACAAAAACTGCGAGCCCCCGGCTCTGGGAGATGGACCCGTCCCCGGACCACGCCACTCGCGAGGTTCGTGGCCCTGATCCCGCGTGCTGCCCAGAACGCACCGCATGAAAACGCCCCACTGGTCGCCCCCCTCCTCCACCCCACTCCTCCAGAAAAAGAAAAAAAATAAAATAAAAAGAAAGAAATGTTCCGAAAAGAATTAAATCTATGGGGAGAGAAATCTGAAAACCTGCCAGTATCCCTCCAATCCCCTGTCCCCTCACTGAGGCCAGGAAAGCAGTGGCCGTGGCCACCGAGAAGCGACCGTTCCCTGCGCCGGGGAGCGACCGGGCGGGGCCCATTCAAGACTGCTGGGGGAGGGGAGTAGGATGGGGGAGCAAATAATTGGGGTTCGCTCGTGGTTCCTCCAGAGCTGGGATCTCACTGACTGCCCACTCGGGGCTACCCGCGGGGCTCTTGCTGAACGAAGCGTGGCGGTCTCTGTCCTGTCTCGATAATTTATTTTTAATGCAGGGTGTCGATCGAGACAACAAGCGCTCAGAGCAAAGCAAGGACGCATTACGGGGGGAATTTTAAACCGATCGATAAAATTTTTCAAAGGAAAAAATAACGTACTCATATATATATATATAGTTCATCGTTTTTTTAAAAAGAAAAAAGCCTTTCAACATCATAACGGATTTTAAAAGGGAAGATCTATTATTTCTTAACATCACAATCCTGAATTTCTTCTGCTTAAAAAAATGTAAATCCCCAAAAGCCAAAATAAAATAATAAAATAATAAAAATACAAAAAAAAATTTAAAATGAAAGCAATTTCAGTTACTTACTGGAGGCTGTTTCCTGGATACAATTGAATGCAATACAATTAAATCAGTAAATGTGACTTTGGTTTGTATTCCTATTGGTATTTTCAATGTGCTGACTGTTGCACTGTGAATGCACGGCTTCCACAACAACGACTCTAGCGAGCCCATCCAGAGCGGCTCTCAAACCTGCAGCCCGGCGCGGCGAGCCACGGGCCCTGCATACTAATAAGCTCGTGCCACTCAACCCGGAGCAGCCTGCGCGCTGATTGGCCGCGCGGCCCTCCGCGGCCCTGAGCTCGTGCCACTCATTCGGCGTAAACAGGCCTCCCAATAGGCTGGCGCCTGGCCAGGGAGCTGCCAATCAGGGAGCAGCAGGGCTACTACCAAGCCTGATGGCGCCTAATTCAAGCCCGGCGACTGCGCAGCTCCTCTGCGCAGATCATTGCTGCTGAATGAGAAATGTGATGGCGCAGGGCGGGAGAGGAGCACCGGCGAGCAGGCGAGCGAGACCTTGTGTCCATGTCCGGAGGAGATATGGGGATTTGTTTTTCCTTAACGTGTCAGGTCTAAAATGCAGGGTTTTGTGTTTTTGTTTGCTTTTGCGCAGAATAAAAAGAAACAGCCTCACGCCGTAAAGCAGATGCCCTGTCCTCTGCCTGCGGTCTGTGTGGCAGGTGGCGGAACCTGGTGGGTGCAAGGCCAAGCTTCTAAGCGCATAGGCCGCACTGTCTTGCGTACCTCCACTCGCCACACACTCGGATCCGAGCCGGAGAATACATTTCGGTCCGAGGCGTGGCCACACAGACTCCATAAATGCTCGCCTGACCCTTCCTTCCTGAGAGAGAGGCAGGGAGATGGGACCTTCCTCCCCCAGCCATCTATCTGTGCGCTCTCAATTTTATCTCCCTCGGCCACACTCCGCAGCGCAGCAACAATCGAAATGAAAATCGAGGCTCTGTTGCTAAGATAAGGGTTTACTTTTTCCATCAGCCCCTAGATTTTAAAAATATCTTCACTTGGTAATTTTAGGGGTGGTTGTCATGGTGTGAAATCCGTGCTTAGCATTTATTTCTCAGCGCCTGTCCTTGCATATTCACAGAATTCTCACTACAATGGAAAACAGCCTCCAAACAATTCCCTTTATCATAATCAGAACCAAACCACTTAAAAAAAAAAAAAACATTCTGCAAGCAAATATTTCGGTTAGAATTTGGTTGGCTACCCAAATGTTATTTATTCTCAAGAAGTAGAGGTGATGTCTTAGTGGCAATGAATACATAATTCCTGCTCCTCTTTTTCCGTGTGTGTTGGGGCGGGGGGGGGGTGGTATTTAAATAGATGCTAAAAGACAGCTAGACTCCCTTAGGTTTCTCCAGTCTCTTTCCGGCGCGGACACAAAGGAGTTAAACCTGAGCTCTGTGGTCGCCTCTCTTTCCCCGCCTCCCTCGCTTCCGCGGGACCGCCACGATTGGTTGGCGCTCCGCCAGCGGGCTGTCCATCACCAAGTGTAAACAAGGCGCTGATTGGCTGTTATCCAGTCCGCACTGGGCCTCCTG